AAAAATATGAACTTGATCTCCTGAAATTAACATTTATTTGGTAAAGAATCAAAAGACATTAGGTACAGGAGACGAACTTGAGAAGATGAAGGATCAACACCATAAATCAATGAGCAACACCTACAGTACATACATGGTGTAAAATAATAATATCAGATATTTTTATAGCGCACATATCCACCATGCGAGGTGCTCAAGGTGCTCCAAATATTACCTGGCTCTGCTAGGCTGCCAATTTCGGCGGTCACAGAATTATAGGAATTCCTTCCTACTGGTACCCATTTTGTCACCTGGGTGGAGAGTGGCAAATGTAGATTAATGTCTTGCCAAAGGACATTAGTGCCGCGGCAGGACTCGAACCGCGGACCCTGTGATCCACAGTCCGACGACTTATCCACTACGCTGTAGACCACAACACCTCTACATATCCAATACCTTTTCTATATAAACTTTAAGAGACCAGTATACAACTACATTATTAGTACAGTAGTTGTTGCTGTTATCATCATCTGTGAAATGAGACTGAACCTGCAGCCAACTTCCCTGTTTATTCAATAAACATTTTCATGAACACACCCAGTCAGTATTGGATGGAAAATTGTTTTCCATTCTGTGGGCTAATTGCTTCCATAAGCTTTTCACTTCCCTGATACAAAGTTGGTGGACAAAGAGTTGTTTACCTTCTTTCCAAACCAGAAATATTGAAGGCACATGTTGTAATGTAGTACATATGTTGAACATGGTTTGTGGTTGACCAGCTACATGAATGATTGTTTTGAAGAGAAAGTTGATGAGTGAAGAGTCCAGTGAGCATTGTTCATACTCGCACAGGCTGTGTTCACATGGCTGTTATGAGTTAGCAGAAATTAAATCTGTATATTTACTGTATACATGTATACCGGTAGTTTATATATCTATATTAAGAAAATCATTCAGAAGTAAATGAGAGAAAATATTTCAATGAGTAATTTTCCAAGTCACAGTATTTCTTGAAAAGACTCATGGCTTATCTGATTATCAGTGAAATTATCCATCAGGCATATTCACACTGAGGGGAGTCACTGGTGTAAAATGTAGGTATAGTCTACCTATAAGGCTACATGAAAACTTATTCTTGCAATGATTGCTCTGCCGTCAAATTCCTTATTTCAACTCTAGACTAAACACTATACATGTATTTAACCCTAAATAATCCTAATCCTAACCCTAACCTAAAATCTAATCGCAAGTTTGCAGCCCTAAATCTAACTGTCAAGGCCTACCGGTACTCATATATTTTTTAAAAACAAAATACACCCATGCCATAGAAAATGTTGTCAAAGCATATTTCATGTCGCCTACACAAATGTTGTGGAGCGCTCTATGAAATAATGAAGACAGCTCTAGCCCAAGCTCACTGTGGTATGAAAGGGGCCTACTTTCAATGCAATGAATGTACACTCATCCCTCATATACATCTACATTGTACATGTGTACAATGCAGACTTGAATAGGAAGGTCACCCTAAAGAGCGGACAAGGACGTTCTGGTTGATTGCCATCTGATGACATTGTCCAGCTCTGCTGTCATTAAAATTCTGCTCTTGAGAAAAACATTGAAAGCAGTTGTCCTGACATTGAGATTTATCGTGCATGCATCTGTTGTTCTGCTATTAAAGGCTTATTTCCATTTTACACAAGAGCAATTAATACACATTTGTTATTACCGGTTTATATTTTTCATAAACAGTAGTAAATTCCGTTTATTGCAAAGTGAAGAGGCAATATTCACACAGCAAGAATGGATACTGATCTTGAGAGAGTTTATATTCAACTTGATACTAAGATTAGCAAATTTTTTTTTGTACAGCTCTTGTTTGTTGTCCAAAACATACAGTATATTTTTCCTTGTGTGAATGGGGGGTTAATTTACTACATGCCGGGCTGTTATTCCCCAGTGAGTGTGAGAATGGAGGGACGCTGTGGGAGATAAACCAAGAAGATGTTGAGAATCAAACCACAGCATGTATGAGTCACTCATCAGACACACACACACACACCATCCCTTATTTCAATCATAAATACTTGGTTGCTTGGTTTGTCCTCCCTCATTGTCAATTGGCATCTACAGTACGTGTAGATTTTATATCCCAGTGTTACTACCAGTATACATGTATGTGTACTTACAGGTTGTACAGTAAGTAGGGATGCAAAATTTACAAGTGTTCGCATGATTCCAAGCCCTGTCATCTTTCTATTTAAGGTCTTTTTTGGTTCATTGTACAGAATATGTGGGGATTCCATTTTATATCCCAGTGTTACTAAAATGGATTATTTTCAGACCTTACAGGTAAAAATCAACTGGTTCCCTGAACCTCCCCCTTCCCCCCAGGAAAAACAAGGAAAAACAAACAAATTGTAGAATTTGTGATGAAGTGATGAAGAATAAGAGTGTAGGGCTAATGTAATTTGTTGGGACTCTGTTGCTCTATTTAAGTACCGGTAATGCAGTTACAGTACATATCAGCATCATATAGGCCTATACAGATGTAATTTACATCTTGAAATATATATATATATATATATATATATATATATGTTAAATATGGTCTGTGTGAGCAGGAATCACCCTCCAAAAAACAACAACCCAAAACAACAAATAGACAACAAACAGAATCCAGCGAACACTCCTACTACAAGGGTAAAATGAAGCTCAAGAGAATGTTATCTGTATGAACTTATGAAGTGATGTTGCCTTAAAAAAATTCAGCCGCCCTTCTTGCAAAATTGCTTTTACCGAGTAGGAATCTTCTGTGGTACACTGAATCAAATTTGTATTATGAGACCTCGCTCATTGGAAAGATGCAAAGATATCTGCTATACATCTTCAAGATAAATAATTGTCTAGAAGCCACCTGATCAATAATGCACGAGTATGAACGCAGCCTGTGACACTCTGTCTTGTTATGAGGCCCATGTGTGGATCTCAGGGTCAATGGACTTTTTTCACACTTCTTGTAATGAAGTAGTGTAATAGGTGAGCTCAAAGTATAAACAGGAGGCCTGTTCACATCAGCTCGAGATTGCCAAATAGCCCGCTATTTCTGATTTGGGAAATAATCTGGAAGTTACAAATCGCGTCTTAATCAGCTCGAGACTTGACCTTGAAACTCGAGCTCAAGAAATTAGCTCGAGATATTTTGCTCAGCGTTCGCGCATAGTGCGAGTCTTCAGCTGGTGAACACGCACCAGAGAAATAGCAGGATATTTTGCAAACTAGCCCAAGATATCTTGGGATGATTATCTCGACCAAATTTCCGCTAATCGCAACATCGGGCTGATTAAGACGCAAATTAACTGGATAATTTGTGATCGGGATAGTTCAAAGAACGGGATATCTGGCAATCGCAAGCTGATGAAAACATGCCTTGGGAGACTCCTAGTTCCCACTCGTCCTCTCTTGTCTATTCTGTTTGGGAGAAAATGAAGATTGAAGAAAACAAAAATAATGTAAAAACAGACAGAATCTGGACGAGGGCTGATGGTAAGGCATTTATTTCTGGTTCTCTCAATCTCAAATTCTTTTCAAATTCAAATTCAAAATTCAATAAAATGTTTTTTATTAAAGCACAAACATGGTTCATACAAATACAATTTTAATTGCTTAAATTCTTGGTTAAATAACATTGATGAAATAGGAGAAGAAAAATATAGATAAATTTATTCAAAGTTTCATCATAATATTATTTCACAAAGATAGCGTACAGGTGATGTCAGCTGACATGCAGATTTCTTATACAATAAGTACTCGGCATTGTATTTAGCCTACATGTTGTACATTCATGCTCTTCATTCGATTGAGGAGCTCGTGGGAACATTCAAATTTACAAAAATGTACAATGATGATTGTTTTTCATCCTCTAAAAATACTAACAAATTAGGCCCCCTACATGTACCGGTACATGTAAAGATTGACAAAATTTAAGAACAAGTTCCTTGCGTTGTACTACACTGTACATTTAAGTTAGAACTTCAAAAAGTCTTATCTGTGGCTGAAGTGCCATGCAGGGTGTAGTGTGTGTGGGATCACTTGATGTAAGATATCGTATATTTTGAGCCAGAAGGGCGTTAACCCTTTATCGTATGATATGAATACAGTTGTAGATGCCCTTCTGGCTCTAGACGAAACAGACGATAGAAGGAGGCTGCTCAGGCCTCTTCACAGCTGACAACCCCAATCAGAAGGGATTCCGAGCCCGTGGGAAAAATCATTTCCTTATTTTATACCTGAGCTGTTTGTTTGATTTCGTCTCCATTACAATGTTCAATAGAGTGAGGGCATTTATGTTATGGGAGAATGGAGATAAGATGAGATGTGTTTTTTGTGTTCGTGGGGGCCTTGGGGGGGGGGGGGGGCGAAGAATGGTTAAAGTGGTGGCGGAAGAGATCTAGTATGAGAATAAATAAGATACAGTGTTAATGGGGTGGGAAGAAATATATGTAGTTTTGAGAAATAAATGACAGAACATTTATTTGCTCCTTATCATATAGCTTCATGTATCACATATGTTTTTAGATCTACTCTACATGTTCATTATGTAATATCATTGATTTGACTGTCATTGATTTGTATTTTACAACATTTAATTTAAGTCTTGAGTGTTTTGGGAGAATCTATTTTTTGTTATTACCAAAAACCAAGATTATCTTTTTGGGGAAAGAGCACACAAAATGTAGGGCCTACAGATGTTTAGGGAGTGAATACTATTTTTAATCTGGCCCGCTAACGACTGGATTGACAATCAAAAGGCCAGCAATTTCCCTGGAGGATATGGAAAGCAGTTTATAATTGCCCATTGACCTGAAATTATAACTAACTCCATACACTACTACTGCTTCTGAAATACACGTCTGAAGGTCGTTGAGTGCTGACATTTCGCATCCATCTTATTCCATATGGTGTCACGCATGTAGAAAGATTTTTAATCCATCTCATTGTTTATATTTCCTCTGAATTTACAGAGAAAGGAAACACTCGGTGCTAGTAGCTTGACCCTCCCCTGCCCATCAAGTTTACCATCTTTTCCCTATAGAATCATTGAGGGTAAGTACACTGTACATGCAGCTGCATGCCATTCACAAATAAGCAATTACAAATGCGTGGTGATAAATATTTCAGCATAATATTGGTAGTTGTAAATCCAATCCCTCATCATTTTCCATCTCTGATTATATCCCACTTTTTTCTCATTCAACTAGGTAGCTTGATCTACGTGTACTTGCTGTGTATGAATCAATATAGGCAAGTCATGGATTCTAGGCCTACCGTACATGTATACAAAACTGAATTGTACTCAATTGTGTACCTGACATTCTTACCAATTTCCCAGTTGAATTTAGGGAAATTTGTATTCCAGAAAAATCCAAGGTTTGGCATCCCGATTGGTTTTGCTTCAACCTATTGATGCGGGATAAAATTGATTAAAATGTTCAGAAACGTGAAGCGGCATAGAGGTGGATCAACCGACTGATGCAACATTCCACAATGCTACATTCATGTACCCTCCCTGGAGAAGCCTGAAGTGAGTTTGATGGATGGGCATTTATCCATTCTCCCTCTCTCTCTCCAACTTCCTTCTCTTCTGGCAGTCCGCTGCTCCCTCACCCCCTTACGCCCCCTGACAGTCCCCCTCTCTCTGAGCCCCTCGCAGTATATTCTTTCTCTCCCCTAGCAGTCCCCCTTCACCCAAACAAGACGAGCTCTCCAGGGATGATTCTTACGTCTATGCTTCAAGGAACCCGCTCTCTCCCCTCATATCACCAATCAAGTGGAAAAAGCGAGGTGTTTAGGCCTGTCCTCATCAGCTCGAGATTGCCAAATAGCCCGCTATTTCTGATTTGGGAAATAATCCCGAAGTTACAAGTCACATCTTCATCAGCTCGAGACTTGACCTCGAAACTTGAAACTCGAGCTCGAGAAATGAGCTCAAGATATTTTGCTCAGCGTTCGCGCATAGTGCAAGTCTTCGGGCTGGTGGAGACGCACCGGACAAATAGCGGGATATTTTGCAAACTAGCCCAAGATATCTTGAGATGATTATCTCGATTGAATATCCCGCTAATTGCAACTTTGGGCTGATGAAGACGCAAATTAACTGGATAATGTGCGATCTGGATAGTTCAAATAGCGGGACATTTGGCAATCTCAAGCTGATAAAGGCAGGCCTTTTGTGCCTCTGCTTCGTACTAAACCCTTCCCAAACCACCAGTGTACGGGAAGGTGCGATAGTCGTTTGAAATTATGCCTTTTCTCTCTGACTGCAATCCATCAATGTTGGGATGGCAAATGCATTGAACTTGTATGATTCAGTTATCTACATGTGAATAGGAGAAGCCTCTTTGTTCAGTTCTTGATTGCGTATCATCTGTTTCATGTAGTGTTTATGTTTTGTTTACTGTACAATGGAGGTGTACTTGCTTATTTCCAACAAGTTCTATTTCAGAAGGAAGGGGTGTTGAGAAATGCCTCTCAGATGAAATAGTTTTAATGCAAGGAAGAGGAAGAGGGGAATGAATTGAAAGAAAGAGCAACCTTGGGAAATATATAGAAGCAGGAAATTGAGAGAAGCACTGAGATGACTGAAAAGAAGAAGAAGAAGAAGAAGAAGAAGAAGAAGAAGCGAGAGAGAGAGAGAGAGAGAGAGAGAGAGAGAGAGAGAGAGAGAGAGAGAGAGACATACAGACAGACAGACAGACAGACAGACAGAGAGAGATAAAGGAGAAAGAGGAAGAGACAGAGAGAGAGAGAGGGAGGGAGGAGGAGGGGGGGGGGGGCGGGTTGCTTGGGAGTGTAATAAGGGAAGAGAAATTGAGGGAAGCACAAAGGTGAACAAAAGATAATGGTACTTGGTAGAGGAAAGAGGGAGTGAAGGGGGACAGATTTGGGAGCATTTACAAGAGAGCAAGAAGTGGAGGGAGGGAGGGGGAGGATGGATGGATGGATAATAAAAAGGAATGGAATGGGCAGGTCAGATGTTGTTGGAGTGGTATGGATGGGAGTGACGTGGATGGCACTTTACTTGTTACCATGGGCAACCAAGAAATCATCCCTGGAGGGTGGAGAGAGAGAGAGAGAGAGAGAGAGAGAGAGAGAGAAAGAAATGAAGGTATGGTAGTACAGTGACATCATGACATCTTTAAAGGAAACCTTCAATAAAATAAATGTACCAGGGATACAGGCTCCACTCCATTTTCTCACAGGGGCTCTATATTGAATTTTGAATGTCTGTATCCAGAGACCCCCAGGTCAAACACCATCAACAACAACAGCATCAACAACTTTTTGTTGTTCTTAGAATATCAGATTGCCATCAACTTGCCATGATAACACAGCCATACCAAATATATTTTTACCATTTAAAAGGAATCTGTTTCATTGACAGAACATTTGATTTTGGTTACTACATTGTAGGAGAATGGAAACATTTCTTTTGAAAAAGCAAAAGACAAAGACAAAATAACAACAACAACAACCTTAAAAGTCTTCTTCTATCCATTACATAAATGTGGTTGTACCTTTAATGTGTGAATTGTATGCTAGCAGTCCAGTGCCACTTCCAAGGGCATGTTTAATATATGAGGGTGGCTGTTGAGTGGTTGGGAAACAATACTTGCATAGCAGGTGCATGGAGTGATATGACTCATTACTGCAGATTAAATAGGCAATTAATCTGGTGTACTTACATGTAGACCAAAAGCCCTTCTCTCAATACAGAGTAAATGAGTTCAGTCAAGGTTCAATATTATCTAGCCAATCAGTCAAATCATCATGAACCTTATAACCTTAATTTAGATGACACAGTTCGTTGTGTGCCTAGTGCAGAGCTGCCAACCAGTACGATTTAATTGTATTTTGTACGATTTTTAGAAGTAAATACGACAGCACGATTTTCCTCTATTAAATACGATTTTCCACATTAAAATGTTGGTGTTAATGTATTTTTTGTGTCGTGCCACTTTCAAAGGCAAAACGCCCATTCTGTCCTGTAAAGTATTGATGCATTTGCAGAAGTGATATCATAATTTTGATCATGACTTCCGGTATAAGCTGAAATGTGTCGCACAATTGAATATTCAGTTTCATTTTGAATTCAGCAACCTTGGCAAGCTTCATACCACATCAGTTTAGGTTGCCTCCCACGTTGTTGGCAACTCAGCTCTATATTGTGATCTACAGTATGGGAATTCACGCAACCGGTATATATATTATTCATGTCCTCAGTATCATAATCACAATATGCCATCGAGGACATTTCAGATATCATTCTGTCTGCAGTGGAGATTAATATCTTTTTCGGCCTTCAGCTCATAAGACTCATAAAAATGTATTACACATATATGAATATACATGTATGTGTCTTTTTGTGTAGTATGATACATTGTGTAGTATCATTAGTAGGATACATTTCAACACGGCTCATCCATTGCAAATACACATATTATTAAGGGATTACATGCACTGCTCGACTGAAAAATATTCAGATTAAATGGTAGACGCATTAATAAAATAATATTCCATGATCCATGTAATAAGGGTCATTCAACAATTATCTCGCAGATCATCTCTCATTTTTTAATTTCATGCATGTTAATTCTAGCAGCGTGTAATAACACACCTGATCAGACAGGTGAGGAATGAGAAATGGTTGAATTATTAGATTATAATCCTAATGGAAAAGATGGGGGGGGGGGGGGGGGGGGGGGTTCAAGGAGAGGGGTCGGAGAGAGGAGCATTGGTAGGGGGTGTAGTGGAAGATAGGTGTATAGGGGAAGGAGGGGAGGGGGAACATGTACAAGAGAATATTACAGAGTTTATAGCAACGTTGAACAAACTTGAAAAATGAAAGAAATATGTAGGCTACTGTGAGCAGTTTGGGGAGAAAAAAAAAGAGAGATAGAGGATACATTATGTGCAGGCTTGCACACAGGCCTACATCTACATATTGTATGTGTAAAGCTACAACTCTTTGACTTCAATACACAGAGTTAATGCCCTTCTAGCTTCAGAGGATGTGCACTGTACCGATTGTACTCGGTAGCAGCTAGGCTAGATGTTGATAGTAGCAGTGCGGTTTGGAAGGACTATTGCCAATTTGACGTCTCAAGTATCATTGAAGATGAAGGCAGCCATGGCAGAGAGCCAGACTATAGTGTACCCGCAGTCTCGCCAGTCTGCTCATAAATGTCTATTTACATTATCCTTCTAGTGATGGCTCTCAAAGGTTCAAATGCAAAGGAGCCTTGATCGCGTCACTACTAATTACCTTGCCATACAGGTACATGTGTACATACATTGTACATGCTCGTCGTTGGGCAACGGGGAGGATAATAAATGTTGGGGCACGACCCACGCTAGATACTGCTCATGTTGGTTCTTTTGAGCCGATAGGGCCATAACTGAAACAAACCTATAAATCACACATTTGAAAGTTCCATTGACAGACATACACATACATGTACATGTAAATGTTTTATATATTGATTGTCACCATGTATTGGGGTGGGTTATACTTAAACATTTTGTTTTCAGTAGTACAGTAGCATTGGGATTTGAGGCCAAAAGATTAGAATCCATGTGGTGTATGGCAAAATGACATCTGCACAGTGTGCATATTATAATCTGGATTTTCTATAACTTTTTAAGTCCATCTATTATAATAATAATAATAATAATAATAATAATAATAATCTTTTAAAGTCTACTCCAAATTGTATTTAACCGAAAATGGAAATTCAGATGTATTTGTCAAGGTATATACATGTACTTGCCATATTTGTATAGCATTGACCTATTTAATACCAAGGAAGAGGCTAGTATAATTCTGAACGAGGCCTTTTGTAAAAGAGCTTTTAGAGGTTTCTAACAGTTGTGAAAGAAAATATGTCGCTTTAAGAGTTTCTACTTGTATGTATTTTGGGCAAATCACTCTCAAGTCTCAACTCATTTGTATCTTCAGAAATAGGAGACACCATGATATCATCCCACTCAATGTGGGCTGCACGTACATGTTTGTATCTTGGATGGTTGAAAGGAAAGATAATTGT